GCTGCCCGCGACGCCGGAAATGACGGTTCCGGCTCTTGTCACGTGAACTGGGGGGGGGGGCGATTGTGGAGGTTGGGGCCAAGGGTCAAGTCTAGGATCCCGAGTCCTGGCCAGCAGGGTTCAGGTCCCACCTAGGGTACCGGTTCGCGCGCTGACCACGCCACGGGGTCGGTCATCTCGACCAGGAATTGGTATGTCACCGTGGAGCTTAAAAATGCCGCCAACAACTTAACGTCCTTAAGGAACTTTTCTCGTGTGTCCCCTAGCCAGTGTTCTAGGCTTGCTCCCCGGGGACTGCACCCGCGCGCCCTCCCCGGGCGTGGGAGGTGCAGGCTGCACGGAACTGGGGCGGCTTCCCAAAACCCGACTTCTAAAATCGCGGTGTCATTGCCTTCGGCCGCGGACGCTAGTGCCGGGAAGCGTCCTGCGGTTTCCGATTCCTTGGGGGCACTTTGAAATCTCGTGTGGGCTGTGCGACCGTCGTGGGAGTATTCAGAGCCCGCACTAACTTCGTCTCGCGGGCGCGAGCGCTCATCACTTGGGTTGGTTATTAAGAGCTTAATGACTCGCGCAAGGTCGTGCCGCTGGTTGATGGTAGAGCTGAAAGGACGCGGCCAATGCTTTGGTTCCTAATTCTTGACTTTGGGCTTTTCTGTAAAGAGCACGCTGGGGTCAGAGCTCGGGAAGCTGGGAAAACGGCAGTTTCAAGGCTGTTGGGAAGCAAAAACAGCCCCTGATGTTTTTAGCCCGTTTGATGAAAGAGATTTTACTACTTAGGTAAAACAATGTTGCATCCGTTTCATAAACTGCATACATTCTGCAATCCTAGTTGGGGTGGGGGGGTGAGGAGTAGGACAGGCAATATGAAGATGAATCGTGGTGACAAGCAAATTGTAGAGTGTATGTTCGGCATCAGGCGTTTCTTCATCCCAACCTAATTTTCTATATATAAATACAGGCCTAATGTGGCCCGGAGGCTCTCATTTCTTAAACCAAAAATTGGATGTGATTTTTCCCCCCTGCTTTTGTTGTTTTAGTGTTGCATTTCTCAAATTTTTAAACATGTAGGCCAAACAAATCATGCTTGAGCTTCAGTACATACCGTCTGTGCAAGTAGCAGACTGTCATTCTACTCTCCCTCCCCACCCCTCACCCCCAATTCTTTAATCAACATTTTTAAAGTGATGCAGGCAGAAAGATTAGAAAATGTGCTCAGGCAAAGAAGACTTTAGGCTTAAAATCCTTCCTTCTTCTTCTCTGCTATTTGAAGAGAAGTTTTTTATGCTAACCTTACAACAGCTGCATTTTCCGCTACATAATCCACTGAGGTCAGTTTCTTCATCCAACTACCTGGCTGTTGAAGTATATTCCAGCTCTTTGGAAGTCTGGGTCTATGTCATATGATTGGTATGGTGTGACAGTTGGGGATTTCCATTTAGAAATTTTTTCACCATTTCTCTTATGGAGATTCATTGTGATCCCTCATCCTTACACATTTGAGTTCTGTTTCTCAAGCAGAAAAATTAAATTTAATCATTTCATACAATTCAAAATTGGAGTCAAATCTAACACATAAAGTTTTTGCCCCATTCAACTTTACCTGAGTGCAACATAGAAATAAAGTTTTCTATGATCAGTTTAGGAGTTAATTTACCTCAACTTCTGGGGGAGGGAGCCAGGCAGAATGTCATTCTATGAACCATGTAACCTGGCTGTAATAAGTGTATGATTTATTGTAGACATAGACCCTCCCCTCTCAAAAAAAACTCTGGGCAACACCAGGCCATACAATCTTTAATGTTTTACCAAACAACTAGTAAAAGTTGAATATCCTCTGATCATCACAGAATAGTAACGCTACAATTTTTTACAACATCCAGTGACTAACATGACTAACTGCCCTTACACAAATTTGTAGACAGAAATTAAAAAACGAAGGGCAGACTGTTGGTCAGTAGAAAAACATAACTGAGAATTCTACTCTTAAGAAAAGAGCCAAGTGTAAGTACTCACCCACCTGCTAACTGAAAGGTGGGAAGTTTGAAACCACCAATGGCTCCACAGAAGAAAATACCTGGTGATGGATCTTCCCTGCTAAAGATTAGTCCAGGAGACCTTCAGGGGTGGTTGTGCTTTGTCACATAGGGTGGTTACAAGTAGGAACCAACTTGCTGACAAACAGCCAAAAAGTTTGTTGCACTACTTTTACACTGTGGCTCTGGAACCCAAAACTAACAAACTCGCTGCCATCAAGTCGACGCAGCCTCGGGACAGCCTTACGGGACTGGGTAGCACTGCCCTGTTTCTGAGACTCTACAAAAGAAGAAAGCTCCCTCTCACACTAAGAAGCGGTGGGTGGTTTCAAACTGCTGGCTTTGCAGTTAGCAACCCTATGCTTGTACTGCTATGCCACCAGGGTGCCTCACACATTGGCATTTTTCTTAGAGGTGATTTATAATAAAAAATAGTGGCTCACTTATCAACCAAACAATAAAGGGAAACAGTGCTTCTAGTGGGGTATACACACTTTACAATAATCAGCCATTTGTAATCATGGGGATGGCGCTTGCCCAAAAAATGTTTCAAATGGTTAAAGAGAAAGAGGTGTGATCAGTGGCGGTTCATTGAATGAGAGGATGGCAGTGAAGGAGGTGAAGCAAAATGTATATGAATTGTTGAATATAAAACTTGATCTGTAAACATTCAACCAATAAAATGTTTTTTATAAGTAAGAGCTCTAAGATCCGTACCCTTAGGGCATGTGTGTTAGTCTGGGTAGACTTGAGAAACAAATTCATAAACACACGTGTATAAGAATTTTATATACAAGAGCAGTTGAATATTGAGGAAACAGTCTAGTCCAAGTCCATAAGTCCGATATTAGCTCATATGTCTGATACCAATCTATAAAGTCCTCTTTAGACTCATGAAACAGATGCAATGACGCCGAATGCAGGACGATCATAGGCCAGTGGGTAGACAGTCTTTGGATCCAGTGTCGTTATAAGTATCTCAGTGCTGGCAGGGGTCTCCATGTGGCTTCTCTAGGTTCCAGGGCTGCATCAGGGTAGGTCCATGTGGCTTCTCCTCAGGGATGTCTCACAGAAAGTGAGCAGAGAGAAAGATAGTGTCTCCCACCACCAAGAAGGAATAGAGGATTTCCCAGAATTCTCAGAAGGCCAGGCCCACACAGAGGCTATGATTTAATTGACAGACTAGACTCCACCCTTTGCTCTTAATCCTATCAAATCCCAAATTGACACCAGATCATGTAACTACCACAGTATGTGACCGTGAAACCCCATCCTGGAAGTATTGTTGATGCTGTGGCCTTAAACTCTTCTGAAAACAGAAAGTAGCTCCTCTGATTTTAGGACTAGACGAGTATGTCCTATGGAAAAATACTGAATCCCTTCTCAATGTGTTGATCCATTATCCAGAACTGAAAATTCTTTACACACCACAGTAGTCACATATTCACATACAAAAATATGTCCACCTTATAGTAGAGAGGATTAAAAATGGAAGATTAAACATAGATTCAACTTTTACTTAAATCAGTGGTTCTCAACCTTCCTAATGCTGTGACCCTTTAGTACAGTTCCTCATGTTGTGGTGACCCCCCAGCTATAAAATTATTCTTGTTGCTATTTCATAACTGTAATTTTGCTACAGTTATGATTGGGGCTATCCCTGTGAAAGGGTTATTCGACCCCCAAAGGGATCACGACCCACAGGCTGAGAACTGCTGACTTAAATCATTAAAATTCACATCTAAACTATACATATACATATGTATATGAGCAGATTGTCAACAGCAACTGGCAAGGTTAGACAGGGAGCTTAGAGAAAAATGAATTTGTTACTAGTAGAATTTGGAAAAGGATAATGGCCACATAACTTGAAAAAAATGTAATAAATGTAACTAAATTGCACATGTAGAAATTGTTGAATCAGTCTTTTCTGCTGTGTATATTTTCAACAACAAAAATACTTACTTTTAAAAAATTTACTTCTTGTTTTGCCCAGACTTCCACCAACTATGCTACTATGTATTGACTATGTTCAATATGCTAGGCAGTGTATGAATCAGAACATACAATAACCCATGAATAATGGAATGTCATCACTAGAAAAGAAGAAGTAATTGAACCAAATGGGAAATGGTGTCAGAAAATGAAGGGGAGAGTGAATAATAATTTCTTGAGCACTTATATTTCAAACATTGTGCTGAGCACTCCATATGTGTTATCTATGTAATCCACTACGCAACCTGTAAAGTGGATAGTAAACCCAATTTTCAGTTTTCACTTCAGCCACCCAAAACACTTTGATTTCTTACCAAACTGTCTCAAGCCCCA